AAAATATTCCCCACCCAAGTCTAGCCGTAACATTTTAATTGTAGACCCAATCTGTGTTGTGATCAAAGACTGAAAGGTACGATATATCTAGTAGAAATCAAATTTATAAGTCATAAGATAAACACAAATATAGCAGGTGCAATCACCAACAAAAGCACATAGTATGCAGAACCCCCTTTAGTGAGAATAGGAGAGGATCCCCAAATATCAATATGCACAAGAGAAAATGAAGAAACAAAAAATAATACTTTTATTAAATGGTAAAGTAGTAATTTTGGCAAGTTTACAACCCTGACATTCAGTAATTTGACTAGGAGAAACTTTACCTAATAATCATGATTGAACTAAAGACCGTAAGCGATCAACAGACAAATGACTTAAGCAAGAATGTCATAAATAAAACTAACTCGATTGAAAATCTAACTGAAACAAGGAAAGTACAACGGAAGAGGTAGATAGAAGGATATGCGAGCTTTCCATCACATAGAGATTTCCAACTCTATGGCAGCCCAGCCCCAATCTGCTTCTTAGATATCTGATCCTACACACCACAGATAGAAGAAAAAAAGATAAAATCAAAACCAAAAACATCAAATTGACTGATAGATAATAAATTAACAGATAGCCAAAGAACAAAAAAAAACAAAGGGAATAGTAACAACAGACATGAAAGAGGATAAGACAGACCCAATAGATAGGACAAACATACCAGGCCCATTAGCAGTATTAATCGTAATAGGAAAGGGAAGGGAATTTTGAAGGAGAGTTAAGGAGCCATATGATGAGAGACACCAAAGTCAAAATGCTAGACAGAAGAAAAGATACCTGAAGAAGACCCAAGCAAACTTGAATGAAAAGAGATGGGAGCAGAAGCAGGTAAGGATGGTTAGGAGGTGGATAAGATATGCTGAAACTGAGCAATCTAAGCAGTCAAGGAAGCAAGTTAGGATCTACAATTGGAGCAGATGCAGTATAAGCGGCAGGAGGCCAAAAAGTACTCTGAGTAGGAGCTTAGAACTGTGACTGAGACTACTGAGACGATGCACATCTCTTCTTGGGACACTTACACTTCCAATAGCCCTTCTAATTGCAGAAAGCACACTCATCTGAAGCCAGAGGACCCTTCTTAGGCTTTGCAGTGGCCTGAAGCTGATGAGGAGGTGGGGTCGATAGTAGTGGAGGTTGAACAGGAGCCAGAAAGACAGATAAAGATAGTCTCTGACTAGCCGTCTTTAGATGGGTTTCCTCGGAAAGGAGCTCACAAACAATAGCATCCACAGAGGGAAGAGGAGACCGATGAAGGATGCCACCATAGATACCCTCATACTGAGGGGAGGGAGTCGTTAAGAACTACACAAAAAAACCCTGCTCCCAAAACTCAATATAAGCATCTAGAACCTTGAGGCTAGATGATTCTGTAAGAGCCAATGGATCCCAGAGACCTGTCATCTCAATATAGAAGTCGTAAATAGATTTATCGCGCTGACGAGCACCCTAAATAGCTATTTCCAGCTCATACTGCTTGACAAAGTTGGACTGCTGATAAACACTAAATAATCCCACATCTCCTTGGCAGTACTGTGTTTAGAAAACATCATCCTAATATGGTCATCAACAGAATTATGAAATCATGTCAGAACTTGGGCTTTATCACAATCTCAAGTATCACAGGAAGTCAGATATCCTTCTTCTTTTAGGTCCAATGGATGAGGAATAGAACCAGAAACATAACCCCATTTTTTCAGATCAAGAAGAAAATTCTTCTTTACATTGGCCCAATAAGCATAAGCGGCACTAGTGAATTTGCATGTGATGGCTTAGATTTTGGTATCCGACATTGTAATAAAACAAGTTATATAATTGATGGGTCCAAGTATAATAAACCAAAGTCAAAGGGGGACAGAAACAGCCAAACTATAATAAACCAAAAAAAGAAAAAAAAATAGTACTAGATGGGGGACACAACCAGCCACGAATGAGAACAAAAGTGGGTCAACCCAAATGTAGACTATTCACTCAAAAGTCTACAAAATTCAAAAATTGGTTCAGTGCTCGATCAACAATGCTCGAGAACCAACTACAGAATTCTAGTTTTAATTCAAAAGCAGTTCCTTCTTACTATCATCCAGTTGCACTCCCCACAAACAATCCATATAGGCCTAAAGCCTTTTTCTTTCTCTACCCCACTCTAATCCCCATCCAAGAGTAGATGTGATCCAAAATGCTCTTAGAAAGAACGCACATCAACCAAACCATACCAAGAGTGATGGCCCAAAGAACTCTAGCCACCATTCAATGAATAATAAAGTGATTGATCAATTCAATACAAAGGAGGGAAAAAAAATCGTTTCTTTCCATCGAAATAGCAAAACATTTACATTTCCTAGGAAACCAAAACGAAATAGTAGTAGGATACAGAAATTCCAATGTTTCCATTGAAACATTCTAAATAGCACCAAAACACTACGAAATAATAAGGTGACGATGGTCATATTTATTTGTCTCTTTTTGTCAAAATTTTTATAAAAAAATGTGATCATAAGAAAAAAAAAATTGAAATTATTCAAGAAAATAATAAACTATAAACGAGAAAAGTAAAGACAAACAAGATAATATAAAACAAGCATTATTAAGTCATTTATTCTCTTTCTTTGGTACCACGAGTGCGAAGTTATTTTTTCTAGTTTCATCCCTACTATTAGACTTTTGCTTCTTTTTTTTTTTTTTTGGCAATGTTAAATCTCTATCGCAAGTTAGAACCCTCTTGTTTGTTTATGAGCTAATATTCATAGACTTCAACATGTGCAATTATTTAATAATTGAGAATGTACTAACATTTATATAGATTTTAATTTTTGTAACTACACATTTTCAAAGTTTTCAAATTCTTTTATCATTTCCCTTATGTTTTAGAAACATTCCAAAATATTTTCAAAATGTTTCGATTTCCAAACTACTCGAAATAACATACTAAAATGAAATTTTGATGCTTAATTCCCCATATTGCTTACACAGCAACACCAATAAACATGAATTTTCATCTTAAATTACCAATAGTAAGAATGTTACCATAAGTCACCATCCATGAATGCAAAAGAAGGCAACCTTGGACAATGCCTTAGATATCCAAATCCCAAGAACCTTCATGACCAACCAATAATTCATAGAAAAGTTTTACTTCAAAATGCTATCTCAAAATATCCTCACCCTCTCCAATATGAGTAATAGCATGAAGAAACCTAAGAAAATCCACTAACTCCCCCCACCTCCCAAACATTCATCTCTCTCCAGAGAACAATATCTCCATACACACACACACATAAAAAAAAAAAAAAAAAAAAAAAAAAAAAAAAAAAAACTGGAACCATCTTTCCTAAGAGAATCACTTACCGAGGCTCCTATGTCCACTACCACAAGAGAAAGTAATGGAAAGTCTACTCAAGCTTCTCTTCCACACACCAAACATATCAAGAATGTTCGAGAAACACTAAGAACAGAAGGGGGGACTTCAAAGTTTAAATGCATTTGATTTTAGAGAAAAAAGCGAAAAATTAATACAAAAAACTGGTTTTGAAAATTAGTTCCAAAATCTATTTTTGTAAAATTATTCTGAAAACACCTCATTTTTAGGAAACAACTAGCTTTACTTGCTGCTACTATTTTTTGAAAATGTTCTCTCAACACACATTGGTTCTGAGTCTAATACTCATAAATAAATGGAAGTTGTTACAATTTGGTATGTGTACATATAAGATAAAACACTTTTGAATATTTGGTTTCATTCTCTGAAAAAAAAATTCTGAATGTATGACAAAAATAAAGACAAAAAAAATTATTTTGAATTTTTAGAATTTATTCTTTCCCTCCAAAAAGAAAAAACTATATAAAAAAGAAAAGTAATTTTGATTTTTTTTCATTTTTTTCACAAGCTAAATTTTAGTCTTTTTTTTTTTTTAAGATTCTAAAACAAGTTTATGAAAACCAAACCCAACATAGCCTTGAATATTGAAAAATACAAACAAACATTATCTCTAGAGGCCCCCTCAAGTTGGAGGATCCAAGGTCCAGATTTGTAGCTTGTCTCAAAGAAATTGGGATGAAATGAATTGAGATTGAAGTTCTTTATGAGCCACTAAATTTTGGACAAGATGGAAATCAATGTTGGCACACTTGGTATGATGGAAGACCGAGTTCGACACAATAAAATTGGAGGTTGTGATTGGAAAATCTCAAGCTCAGATAACTGGGATTGAAGCCATGAAAGCTTAGTCAAAGCATCTGCCAACGTTTTATAGTGGCATTAACTTAAAGAACGCCTTTGTTTATCAAACCAAGGGGATCAAACCACCTGTCCACCATAATTTGAGATAAACAGTCTGACCTCGCAATAAAATGGATCCTCCCCTTGCATCAACAACATAACAAAGCATTTTTATCAATCTCTCTAACAAAAGTGGAAGGCTCTCTCCCTCCACTGCCATCTTCTCTCTCTCTTAAGAATGCCCTTGGCTCTCCTCAGCCTCCCATGGTCCCTTGCCAGCTGAGCACCTACCATCTTTCCAGATCAGCTTTTCCCAGACATCCCGAACACTATCACTCACACTGCTTGGCCAAATTAATAAGATACATAATGGCTGTAATTAGTTTGACGAAATGTCCAAACCTTTTTAGACTTCACCATGGTCCAATTAAGATTACTTGGCATCCAAGTCATAGTCCTCTACATGTCATACAAAACTTCGATTCTCGAGGGGTGTATATGAATCTTTTTGAGTAGGTAAGTGCCAAAGTACCCATAGCCATATGTAATTTCCTATGCTTCCCGGCCTATTATCTTGGTTCTTTTTACTCTTCATTACACATCAAGCTTTTTAATCATTGCTTCCCAGACCAACATGTAATAACATGGAAGATGGAAAGAATCAATACATAATAAACAAAAACTAAAGGGAAAAAAGAAAAGAGCAATCGTAAAACTTGATTCTGGATGTAAAGCGTACCTGAAATCTGTGTACACGAGGGCTCACTCCAACTTCTGGACAAGAACATGACAATCCATACTGATCCTGCTCACAGCCAAAAATAAAAAAATAAGGAAATTAATAACAAAGAAAAATAACACTAGAAATTATTAGATAAAAATTTACACCACTATACATAGAACAATAAACTAAACTTGCAGGTCGTAATTTTGTTTTATTTTTTCTTTTTCTTCTTTTGGAGGATATCTTGTTCTTTTTCTCTTTGTAGTTTACATCTCTTCTTTTAATATCTCTCTTATCGATTATTTAAAAAATAAAAAATAAAAATAAAAAAGAACAATAAAATTTAGACTTGCTCAGTAAAAGTTCTACAAATGAAATATTTTAAGTTTTAAACAAGTCGATGCCAATCTTTTGCATCGATAAGAGAACCTGCCACAATTTACAACAGCCAAATGTAACCAAGCTGACATGAGCTCAAAACAATCCAACATTCCAGTGAGCGGGGAGGTTTGCACTCACGAGCTAACAAATTATTCAGTAATAGAAAAGGAATACAAATAAAAACACCATAACAATTCCAGAAACATTTTAGGGAACTTGGAAACTTACGGGAAAAAAAATATGGAAATTATAACGCAAGAATTACATACAAGGAAAAATAAAATAACTTTATGACAAAATTATAGCACTACACAAACACTAAAATATTGACAACAATGACATCCAAATTCTCTGTGTGTGGCACATATGAAAACACCCAGGTGAGAGGGAAACTCTCGCCCGGACCAATTTAAGTGTAATGATAAGTTCCAGAAAAAAAACATTTATATCATATGAAATTGTAGGATCAAAACCCTTTTGCACATATTATTCTTAAAATAACAGAAAATTAAAATATCGTGTTTTTTTTATTGCTTCAAATAAATAACAAAGCATCCATGAATTATACTGAAGGAAAATCATGATCAAAATAGAGGTGGTTTAACAAACCACTTGGACTCCGCTAGAGCAGGCAAGCAGTAAGGTTGATCTCAATGCTTGCTTCTGCCTTCCAATTCCCTTATTCACTTAATAACTTACAGAATGACTTCCAGACTGAGAGTCAAAGAGACAGACCGACCATATTTTCAATGGGCCATAGGTTATGGTGAACTCTTTATTACAAAAATGATATCTGGCTTTTGCAGGGATTAATCAACAATACCAACAGAAAACATTACTTCATTATCTAAAGATGGAGTTTGTAGGTCTGAATGAAAAGAGTTAAGGCGGTAAATTCTCACCCCTACCATAATTTGGATTCCCATGTTAATTAATGTCTCCATCTAGTACCATAGATATAACCAACAAAATGAGAAATGCACACACACCATGCTTGCATGCATACACGCATGCACAAACAGATTATTTTCCAATTGACACAAGTTCAAAATTTAACACATTAATATTGCTATTTCAACTTTTCAATTTCACCAAACATATAGAGTAATAGAAACAAACATTGATCCAAGTATACACTTAACTACTTAACTATTACTACAGAGTGATTTTATATGTTGGATATAGTAGATAAATGAATGTGGGGGCGAACATAGCCAATCAAAAACTATTTGATTATGCCCAAAATGCCCTCAAGAGGATATTTAGTCATCTATGCATCCCTCAAATAATAATAATAATAATAATAATAATAACAACAAAAACAAATGTCAAGAGTTCACCATTCACCATGTGCAACTCTATGCAAAAAGGCATGGTGGAAATTGTTGGATCACCCTTTTGGTATGTTATCAAGAAGGTAAGTCACCATTGACTAGATAAACATATAATTTCATCAAACTAAGGGAAAAGAAAGGCAAGAAATATTTGCTTAGAATAATAATTTTGTACAATGGACAAACTTTTTTGCTCAGACATTAGTCTTCCCGCACTGCCAAGAAAATACAGCATTCTTGCTTTTAACATATTTCTTAAGACTTTGTTGGGTCCAAGATCAGCCAATTAGTGAATTATGTAATGTGATTATACGCATGGCATAAGTTTTCTCCAGCTCTTTAGAACAGAATATGAGGTGGTCTTTTCCTGAAACTGTTAAGAAACAGTCAAATGAAACAAGCACCGTAAACAACTTTTGTTTGCCAACCAAGATCACAGATTTAACTAAAAGAGAGTAACTATGGTTAAGACGTACAGAGAATGAGCAGCCACACTAAAGGAAGGGGGTTAGCAGCATGTATTGCAAAGAGGGGGAGGAGCAGCATGCCAGAAACAGAATAGATACCTTTAGCTTTTGTAAATAGCTATCTAGTTCACTAGCGATTCCATCTTTCATTGAGCTACTCTCCGAAGAAAAAAGTTGCTCTTCACCTGAGCCCTCACCCACCAAAGCTTGCTGCAGTGAAACAACAAAGAAGGCACTATATTTCAACTAATCAACAAATCATCAAGGGATAAATAGAAAATCATTACGTCAAATTATCAGTGGAAAGAATTTGGAAAAATGATTATCTAGAAGTCATTTTCAAATTTAAATTATTAAATGAGGAGATTTTGGAAAACATTCTTGATGTCTGGGCCAAATCATAAAATGATTCATCAGGCCCAACCCTAACTCTGATGTTTTAAAAACTGGATTGGACCGACCAGTTCAACCGGTTGACCCATCAACTAGTCTAAGGTCCGATTCAAATACACCCTCAAAATCGTTTTACCTTGAAACCTGGCCTCGTTTGGCTAAACCGGATAAACCCACAGTTGAACCGGCCAACCGCAAGACCCAGCGCCGATTGAAGAAAACTGGCCAAACTGTTGCGCACTCAAATACGCTTGGTGCAGGTGTGGAAAAAGCCTGTCCTCATAATTGAACACGGAACCTCAAGCTCAAAAGAGCCTGCTTATTTCTACTAGGCCATTATTCCACCTTGTAAATATGTTATTTATTGTTTCAATCTATTTACTCTCAAACACTAGCATAATAAACATTTTTTCAAACAATATCAATATAAAAATAGATGTATAAACATATATATTTGGTAAATATATTTATGTAAATATATATCCTAAAATATAGAAATATTTTAAATGAATGTATTTTAATACATATTTTTGTACTTAAATATAATTTTTTAAAATATTTATTAGGTAGTTATGACATTACAGTTCAATACCGGTTGACCCGACGGTTGAACCAGTGACCCTTGACCCAGTCACTTTTCCAGTTTGGTTAACAGTCCGAGTTTCAGAATATTGCCCTAAATACACCTCTCATAGCCCATGGACAAACCCTATGACCAATCCACAAGCCTAAAAAAAACAAATCCATAAATCGTCTGATTACCACCACGTGGCTTCAGTGGATGAAGCCATCTAATATTTAGATTACTCCCCCACTTCTCATTGAAATTCAAATATCTCCTTCTAGAGAATTCCCACAGCACACGTGACCCTTCAATGCCTCTCATCATTCCTCCCCTAACCCCCTTCTCCATCTTTGACCACCACAGAACCATCAAGAGCTGCCTCACCGCCACCACTACTCCCTTTGCACATCTATTCCTCCAAATCTCCTACTCCATCTACAACCTTCGCAATCGCCTCTTCCACCTTCCTACTCTCCACAGTAGCCGCTTCCATAAGTCACCTCTTCCACCGCCCTCACCACCTTACTTGATTAACCACCAAACCCATATTACTCCCCTTCAAACAAAGCTTATTTGAAATTTAAGAAAGAATCAAGTTAAACCTTCCACCATGCTTCTTCCTCAAGCCAATGTTGCTCCTCCCTCGACAACCTATCTTCAATTATCTCTGAAAAAGACATCCACCAAGAACCTCTACCATTGCAAATCGAGAAGAAATCATAACAAACCACAAATTGGTTGAGATAACAATGAGAGCTGTTTGATATGAAAGAAAGAAACCCCTCAGATACAGAACTGTGAAAACACACTAAAAAAACCCTAGATGTACAAATAAACCAGCAAATGACTTTTGAAAAAGGAGAATCCAAAAGATGAGAAGTAAGCCAAACCTAAGAAGCATGGACATTTCATTGGTATCAGTGTCAGAAAGTCAAAACACAACAAAGGAAAACAGCGGGGAGATGGAACAAGCACAACAAAAACCAAAAAAAAAAAATCTAAGCCCAAAAGAGTCACGATTTGTACACTCAGATCATAAAATCTTCTCCCTTATATAAGACGATTGAAATTATTAAAGACTTACAAAGAAGTGAAAGACATGGCAGGATATATAAAATAAAATAAAATAAAAAAATCTTCTCCCTTTTTTTCGTGTGCGCGCACAAATTTTCTTACTTTCTTTTGTTGTTCTTTATTTTCTTTTGTTTTTTGTATTTTTTTATTATTATTATGGCGGAGGGGTGAGGTTACGCAGTACACCCAACAAACAACAGAGTTAAGAATGGCAACATATCGAGCAGCCAAGCCTCAGACTGAAAACCAAATAACATGGGTAGAGGAGGACTCGTCTCCACCTAATAACAAACTACTCTTAAGCACACTGGAATCACAGGACATTAATACAAAATGAGAAATATAATTATCACTACAACATACCAGCAAGAGTTTTTTATGTTGTTTGCGTTGTGGAAGAATTCCAAGGGCATCTAACATTGATTCCTCCAGTTCTGCAGACACAGAAATTTGATAAGAAAACAGATGTATAAGTAGTAGTAAAGTACGATCAATAAGTTCAATGATATATAACCTTTCGTTTGTAACAATGTAGCCAACATGCTCAAGGAACCAAAAACTTGAACATCATCACCATTGGTAATATAAGAAAGCAAAGCCTCCCTACACAGCAGAATGTCAATAATGAAAAAAATTACAATCTCAATAACGAAACAGTTATTGATTACACTCCTTAACATCGCAAAAAATTGGAAAAAGAGGCATTCAAGTATATAAATATTTGTGCAGGCAAATTGTCATTGTCAGATCATGGCCTGAAGGCAATGAATTAATTCATGTCTGTTGAAGCAATACCGATCTTTCCAGCATCACTTTGTTAGTGTCTTAAAAGCTATTATACAAAGAGAGCAGTCTGGTAAGGATGAAGTCCCTACTTTTGAGTGTTCCATCTCATTTCTTGCTACTTATATGCCCTTGCATATTGCTCCACAGCAACGACATACAAGGTGTTTGTCAACTGACCTATTTGCCGACTTCTCATTGGCTTTCTTATGCAAACATGACCGCAGAAAAGGTTCATTACTGATTGACCAACTTGTACAAGTGCTGCCAGCCTGACACTCGATGCCAACTAGAAGTGACAGCACACGCGATGTGTGCACATATGATTATTTTATTTCAGAAATATAAGATTATAAACTGTATGATTGAATTCAAAATCTGAAAATGAAAATGAAAATGAATTTGCAAGGATCAGAAGTTAAGATATTTGAAAAAGAAAAGAAAAAAAAACCTGAATTTAGGGCAAAACTGCCCACGTAATGGCCATGTAACTACTTTAGGGCTATTTTAGGAAAATCCAAAAAATGAGATGTCAATACCAACTCTAGCCTTCACATATATAATAGTATAGATTTAGGGCATAACTACCCATGTAACTACTACAGGGCTATTTTAGGAAAAACCACAAAATAAGACATCAATACCAACTCTAGCCTTCACATATATAATAGTATAGATTTAGGGCATAACTACCCATGTAACTACTACAGGGCTATTTTAGGAAAAACCACAAAATAAGACATCAATACCAACTCTAGCCTTCACATGTATAATAGTATAGAAGTATAGAAGAAGATAATAAAGCTCATGATGCCTGGATTCAGCTGGAACCCAAAAACAACCATTAGAAAATGGGCACCTCAGAATTCACTCTACTATTCCAAATCTAGTCAATTCACAATAATTCTGCTCTCAAAATACTCAACCAGTGAACTCAAGTTGCTCCACCCCCATGGTGAGACTAATTAGAAATGGTCAGGACTACGCTGCGTATTCTCCAAGTTCTTTCATAATCACCTCCTCCACTTTCGCTTTCTCCACCACTATCACTTCCAATTCCACCGGCACCACGTTGGAACCACTAATGGCGCTCAACTACCCAACCTGGTTTCCTCCTATGCTCCAGTAAACAAAGCTTAAGAGAGGAGATTACTCCACGGAGGATTTCCCACTTAACTTGCTACAGCGCCTCCTAACTTAACAATCTCTGGTCTTTTTAATGGCAATATCAATGTCTTAAGTTTTGAGATCTGTTCTGGTGTTTTGGCTTTGTCTTCTTTTTCTATTAGCAACCAAAATGAGGTGAGTGGGGGAGTTCTAGAAGGGGTGACTAAGCGTACTACCAAAGGAATGATTTGGAGCAGCATGAGACAATTTCTGGAGATATTGCAGCAGGCAATGGTTGATGAGTTGATGTTTTTCAAGCATAAGGTGGAGGATTATGGACATTTGCATAGTGGGGATCCTACTTACCTTGAGGAGACTAGGTTGGTTGGAGTGCATCTTGGAGGAGGAGCTTCTGCGACAGAGGAGCCTGGAGCATAGGAGGTGTTGGGTCTTCAGTGATAAAGAGTGGGGCACCAATTTTGGAAACAATCCCTTTAGTGGCTTCCTATGAAGCATGGGTATTTCGAAAAACATGTCTTACCCGTACCGGGTACTTACCGGTGTATGGTAGCTCATATGGTACTTCTGCATACATACCGGGTACATAAAACGCGTACCTAAATTTTTTCTTCTTAATTTTTGATGTACCTAGACGTACCTAATATATACCCAAGACGTACCGTACCTCAATTGAAACAATATTTTTTTCTACTACAAAAATAAAACTTCTTTCACTAGACTTCCTTTTTATTTTTTGTTTTATGCTTAGCATGATTTTAAAATTAAACTATGATTTGTAGGTTATTTAATCTATTGACATTTAATTTTGATTTATATCTTTACTTTTGGCATTAAATATTAATTGTAGGTTGGACCTTAACAAATTAAACTATTTAATTAACTTTTACATTACTCTAAATTAAAAATAAATATTTTTTTACAAGTGTACCAAGCCATACGCGTACCTTATTTTTTTGAATTTTACCGTATTGATGTACCCGTATTGTACTAGTACCAGTACTTGTACCTGTAACCTTGTTTCATAGGTTCCTACTTGCGAAGTAGAGAGTGGGGAAGTGAATAGTGTAAGACATTCGGTTGACATATCATTTGACATTGATGTTAATGGTTCCAATTTCGAGGAGGATGATAGTTTAAGTGGAAACATTAAGGAATTCACCACTAAAAATGTTTATGGAGATTGTCTTAAACATGATTGAATTGAACATGTGATTTCCAAGGCAACAAAGTTGGTTGATGAAGGTACGAATAATGATCCTGCACCGGAGGAATCTGGTGAGATACAAAAGGCTTCTAAACAACGGGTAGTGATTGCCTACTAGAAATGATTGGGAGCTTCAAAGGATTTATTATTATTCAAAGAACAAATTTTCATCTCTTTTCCATAGAAACAACAGAAATGTTTTGTTTCCTAGGAAATCGAAATGAAACAATAGTAGAGTATCGAAATTCCAATGTTTCCCCCGAAACATACCAAACATTCCTGAATGCACCATAGCTCTATGAAACTTACCAAAACATTGCGTTGTTTTGATACCTATTAACAATATTCGATAATGTTCTATTCGCCACTTTTTATCCCCCCAAAAAAAAATTGCGAGAATCAGAAAAATATTAAATTTATTGGAAAACATGAGAAACTAAGAATGAGAAAAGTAGAGATACAAAGAAGAAGACAAAATAAGCATAATCAACTCACTTATTCTCTTTCTTTGTTACTGCAAGCGCAAAGTACATTTTTTTTCTTTTTTCATCCCTACTACTACTAGAATTTTCATTTTTAATGTTTTTTTTTAGCGGTGGTAAATCCCTATTCCAGCTAAGCCTTTAACCTTTTTGTTTATGAGTTTCTAATATTCATAGACCTCAACATTTGCAATTATTTACTGATAGAGAATAATGTATTAACATTTATAACAACTTTAGTTGTTGATACTAAACATTTTCAAAGTTTTCAAATTCTTTTATCATTTTCCCTTATGTTTTCCAAAATGTTTCCGAAATGTTTTCATTTCCGAACTACCTGAAACAACATACCGAAAAGAAATTATGATGGTCATTTGAAGGGGAGATATACTGCAGGAAAAAGTGATGGTAGGTCTTCAGGTGAAACTAGTAGATTATCCAAGAAGCATGGCAACGCTTTTCTTGTCTCTATGGAAGACTTTAAAATAAAATTCAAAGAGGAGCATCCAAAAGTAACTTAAGCAACAGTTATTGGCAAAGCCGGTGAAGCTAAATGGAGATGCAAAGAAGGAACCTTTTGTGAAGATGGCACTATATTGATGTATTTTACTAGTTACGTGTGGTTTTATGCCTTTTTGGGTTTGGTGTAGGGCAGGTGTTATCTTTAGTTTTTGTTTTTTGAATTTATTTTTTCTTGATAGTCCTAGGATTGTGCCCCCTCAACATGTTCTCTATTACAATCTTCTTTGTAATTTTTGTATTGGGGTGGGGGTCCTCTAACAAAAAGGAAATGTCAAACACACTGATTCCATGGTTGCATATGAGGACTCCCAACAAGGAAGTAGCAAAGAAATTGGTTCATAATTTAGACACAAATATCGAAACGTGAAAAGCTCAACACATGTTGAAATTCAACATCCACTATTTGCTAAACAAAATAGTTTTGATTATAAAATTGTAGGTTCCTATTTCCGATCTGGATTCTAGATCGTTAATTATTAATGAAGAATGGAAAAAAAATTGACAAAAAAGAATTATTTCATTACAGTTTTGGAGATTTAAAGCCCCTAAACTAAATACAATCTTAAAAATAAAAATTAAAAAATTAAAAGGTACAATGAATGGGTTTGGAACCCTTTACCTATAACATGCCATCACACTGTGTTGAGAGTTGTCACTCTTGAATAAACATATATCCTTAGATTTCATGATTCTCTAGGTTCTATATTTCTTCTAACTCCCAATCTTCCAGTTTAATTATCCCTCAATTGAATTTGAACAAATGACAATATCGTTTAAATGCAACCTTATCGTATCCCATCATGTATCTTCACTGATCATATTGATCTTTTTAAAGTTACCACCGTAGGCAAGCTCTGCATATGCAATCATTTGATTGAGTGTGTTGTCTTCTGAAATTTGTAGATTCCACATGTCACTTGATTTGTATAAGTTTAAAGACTTCAAATTTTAGGTTCTCATTAGCAAATTAAACCCAGAATCTTATCCAAAATTTGGTTGAAATTTATGTGCAAACATAATTAAAGCTAGGGGTTATATACATCAACCAATTCAATTCTCATTTCCCCAAATGCTAGCATGAACAACTAAGAAACCTGGACACCAAAAAATAAGTTAATCTAGAAAGACAATTGATTCCCATCAAGTTTTCCAATAAATGTAGTTAATTATGTATTAGAACCACATAATAAAATATTGATAAAAGGAATATATCACAATTTCTTGAAAATATGTATAGATAGATGAATAATCTCAAACGAGTTTTTTTATCAGCAAAGAAGAAAATTTGTATTAGAGAACATGCCCAGGGCACAACACAACCCTTGTACAATTAAGAAAAAGAAAAGAAGGAAAACAAGAAAAGAAAAATACAACAATCGAAGAACCCAAAAACCATTCACCCCCTGATGCAATGCAGGATGCATACGGATAGCAGCAAATCTGGCCTTTGGGGGCTGATTTTAATTGGATTTTATGGCTGCAATTGCAATAAGAATATAGGGAACAAGTAGGGTTTGTTTAGGGTAATAAATAGGCAAGAGTTTAAACATGAAAGATGGGATTTTAGAACTGTTTAGGGGCTGTATACGGCTTTGAACAGTAACTCGTGAACAGTAAACAAAAACAAAAAAAAAAGAAGAAAGAGGAGAAGAAGATAGGCCTTGGAATCACTACTAGAATTCCTTAGGCATCACACCTTGGGTTTGATTGCATCACACAACCCATAAAAAAGCTTCAAAGCTCTTAACATTTCATAAAATATCAACTCTATCAATTATAAGCATTACAAGGCTTTATATAGGATTAGGAGACTTCCTAAACCAACTAAAAAAAAAAAAAAAAAAAGAAACTATTATAATAAAAAAAAAAAAAAAAAACTACTATAATATCTTAAACTTCCAAAACTAATCTAAGATCAAATAAGAAACATAAATAAAACTCAATTAAATAATTTAACCCACAAGACGACCCGTCGGTGACCCATAGAACCCATGTCAGCAAATATAAAATTACCAAAATACCCCTAACATTAAAAATCCTAAAAAACATAAAAATAATAATAAAATAAGACTAATAATACTAGAAACATAATTACAGAAGATTTCTATCAGTTTCTCTATGAAACCATGCCGATGTCTAAATATCATCACTTCTCTAAATTTAGCCTTCCTTGAGCTTCTTATACTTTGCATCATTTTCCCTTGGAAAAAACTCGACCTCGAGTTTTAAAGTGTTGGAGTATAAGAGTCCACAAGTTTTGAAATTGCATCCATGGCTTTACATTAAAATGGTCAAGTTGACAGCATCGTTTCTTCTTTATTGGAGGTAGCAATGAAAGCAACAAGGTATTTTCAGCTCTAAAGCTGAATTTATCTAGAATGACGAAATCAATTGAAGTAAAAGATGAACCCTTGGATTGATCAAAGTGTTGAGTTGCCCCATCATCCATTCTAATCTTTTTTGGCTTTGTAATATAGTGCTTACAATCAATTTGAATGCTCCTATTTGCATCAATAGGCATGGATTCCATATTCTCAATCTTTTTCTCAACAAAAATGTTGTTTTGCAATTCAATTTTGCAATCCTCTTGTAACTCCGGCACATGCTTTAAAGCTATGTTACCTAGAACGTGGATCATTCTGGTACATGGAACGGGAACGGGAGCGAGAACGAGAACGAGAATGTGGTACACCACATGCTCTAAATGTAGTACGATAGGAATAGAATTTAAGGTACTTCTAGAGTAGTTTTCTTTTAACTATTAGGTATCCAATAATATATATGTATATATTTTCATGTAGCAAATCATTTCTATAAAAATTATAACCCATTTTTCATTTTTATCTTATCAAAACTTAACTCACCATGGATTTTAGTTCATATATTTGATGTTTTTCTCCTAAGGTAATATTTAAGGAAATATATTGAAAAATAAAACTTTGGGGATTGCTTTGGATCCCTAAATTTACCGTTTTGGAACAGAAGTGTACCGTGTTTCGGAATGTGCGTACCAATATATAATTCGCTAAGGTGTTAGCGTTTTCAGGTAACATAGCTTTAAAGGCATATTTTGCTCAACACTAGCAGTTGGTTGCTTCGATTCTTCAATCCCCATAGCTTCCATAGCATCCAATTCCTCGCTTTGGACTCTAGTAATAACTAGATCTTCTTGGGGTGCTTTTGGATCATTAGTAAGAGCATCGTCATCCTTCAAAATCTGGTCATCTTTTACCTTGTGCAGGGTTTGATTGCTTTCCTTAACCTGTAACTTCAATTGCACAAGCTTTTGATCTTTAACTCTAGCTTTCAGCTATGGTACGACTTCTTGTGTGTACTCCATGTTATATCTTGACTGATGTGGCACTTCTTGCCTCATAATAGGGCTTAATGCAGGTTTAAATCTAGTAAGTCTTCGACAGGATTCTTCCACAACTCGATTTCGAGTGTCAAGTGCCTCAAATCTTTGCATATATTCTTCAAAGAAAGTGTTGCCATGTCTTGAATTAACAAGTTGCTCACATGACTCAACAAGATTATTTGAAGGTATATACTTTTCTTGAAGCTTGGCTTTCATCTCTTGCCATGTGTTTATTGGTGGCAATTCCAATCTTCTTATATCTTCTTCAACACCTTACCACCAAAGTTGTGCCAAACCTACAAGTTTCATCTTGGCAAATCTTGCTTTTCGATCATCCGTCCAATCATAGCAAGCAAAAAATTCCTCAATTGAAACAAGCCAATTAGAGAATACCATAGGATCATCTCTTCCTTCGAAATTTGGAACTTCTTTGTTATGGGGTATAACATATTGTGGCACATAGGATCTCCCACTTTGTAAGAACATAGTGGCGAAACCTTAAGCTCTGATACCAAACTGATGCAGGACGAATAGGGACAGCAGCAAATCCAGCCTTTTGGGACTGATTTTAATTGGATTTTACGGCTACAATTGCAATAAGAATATAGGGAACAAGTAGGGCTTGTTTAGGGTAATAAATAGGTTTGTTTAGGGTAATAAATAGATAAGAGTTTAAGCATTGAAGATGGGATTTTAGCACTGTTTAGGGGCTGTATAAAGCTGTGAACAGTAACTCCCAAACAGTAAACTAAAACAGAAAAGAAGAAGAAAGGTCTAGGAATCACTCCTAGAATTCCTTTAGGCATTACACCTAGGGTTTGATTGCATCACACAACCCATAAAGAAGCTTCAAAGCTCTTAACATTTTATAAAATATCAACTCTATCAATTATAAGCTAATGGCTTTATATAGGATTAGGAGACTTCCTAAACCAACTAGAACCAAAAAAAAAAAAAACTATTATAATATCTTAGACTTCTAAAACTTATTTAAGACTAAATAAGAAATATAAATAAAACTCAACTAAATAACTTGACCCATGAGCGACCCATGTCCGCAAATATAAAATTACCAAAATACCCCTAACATTAAAAATCCTAGAAAACATAAAAATAATAATACTAGAACATAATTATAGAAGATTTCTATTAGTTTCTCTATGAAATCATACCAATATCCAAGTATCATCACTTCTTTGAATTTAACCTTCCTTGAATTTCTTATACTTTGCAGGCACTTCCCAGATTTGCCTTAATAAAGCTTCATTTCCATCAAAGGAGCCTTTTCCTCTTTTGACATTGACTTCCATTTATCTCCACCCTCTTTTTCAATAACCACAAAAGATTTAACATTCGGATTCTTTTCCTTAAACTGCCTCTTGAAATCATCTATGGAAATAAAAAAAGCACTGACATGCTTATTTGGTACAATCTTTCCTTCACAATTAGATCTTTTACCCCTTAGAAGACTTTACCTCTTAGCTAAAACCAACCCTGCCCTTAACCTTCTCCTTTACAACAAGCTGCCCATATAACACCTCATTCCCCTTATGTCCATCATAATTAACTCCACATTGAAGTCTATTTAACTCCCTTTTTTCCTTTTTTAACCTTACTCCCTTCACAAATACCCTTCCTCTCCAACTTAAGTGTCAAGGCCGGTCTTCTCAAACCTGGTACAACTATCAATATCTCACCTACCTCATAACCACTATCAGCCAGCTCAGTCACCTTCGCAAAAATTAAATCATTGATATTGTCTCGGATAAGTTGAAGGAATTAATAAAATATTAGAAAACATTGCACAAAATGTCAACAGAGAAAGGACTCAAAAATACACAAATATATCAGTGGATATATTGTAAAGACCGCGTAGATTTTTTTTCATGGTTAGAATGAGGAAGGAGGTCAGTGCCTAGCATGAGATTTGGGCTTAATAAAGATCAGTTACCAAATGTTGAGTAGGAAGCAAGCATGAGCAATACTTCAAGAATCAAGCCTACACTTTACTTCCAATATCTAAATCATAGCTTCTTTTTATTTTATTTTATTTTTGTTGTTGGTGGTCCAAAAAAATAAAAATAAAAAAACATAGCTACATCTAATCTTCAATCTGCAGCTGAAATTGGAAAGCATGATCTCCTTACGGATTTATCGGTTTAGACTTACACAAACTCCTAATATTTAGCACTAAAGGCCAACTCCAACATAATATTGCAAGTGCAAAAGCAATATAGTCAAAATAAATAAATAATAAATATAAAGAAATAAATAACAAAAAACAAAACAGAAAAACGAAAAAAAACGATAAAAAAGGGAAACAAATAAAACAACAATACAATTAAAAGAAAACCCCACAAAAATCATTTTATGTAAGAGTACAAAACTAGAAGTGAACGTTGTCCAGAAAGCATGAACATTATATCCATGCTTCTAAATGGTCCAAGTGTGTTATGATGAGATCTAAAGAACTGGTTCCCTAGAAGACCATATAATTAAGGATCTAGTTTAACTAATTCATCAAGAGCAATAGTAGGACAATCTGGAATTAGCTGCAAGTAATGATGTATGTTACCTTAAAGCTGACAAGAGCAATAGTAGGACAATCTAAAATTAGCTGCAAGTAATGATGTACGTTACCTTAAAGCGGACTGTGAACCATTAAAATGATGTTGTAAGACATCATCTTCCAAGTGAGTTTCTGAAGAACTAGATGAGTTTTGTATGGTAACCATTAAACCTCCATGAAGCACCTTAGGGGGACAATGATTGTCATTGTCTGGCTTTTGGTTTTCATGAGGAAAACCATAACCAGATACATGGCCATTTTGTTTGGCTTCAGAACATGGAATAAAAGCTTCTAGAGGACAGAAAAGAGTGGCAGCAACAGTATTTGCCAAATCTTTTATTTTAACTATGCGTAAAATGCAACAAAGTAAATACAGAGAAGTAACGGGCCCAATCTTCATTCCCTGGATTAACAGGACACAAAAAAGGTTAGAAATAGCAAGTTTCTTATATTGAGTTAAAAGTTAAAACAATGAAGTAACAAATAGTTAAAAGCACCTACATCCCTAAACCCCATCCCCATAAATGAGCAACAAAACACCTTACAAAAAATAAATAAATAAATAAATAAAAATAAAAATAAAAATGATAGAGAGAGACAAGAATGAAGATTCATACATCAACTGCTTCCCTCCTCAACGAAGGAAGAAGCAACGGAAAAATCAAAAGCTTCAAAATGCTGCCTGTTATTAACCTCCCAACATCAGGAATCCCGGCAGAAATAACATCACTAAAATAGTAGAGATTGTCTTCAATTTCATCTACAGCAGAAAAAATGGTAGGAGTTGATTCTGGACCGCTGTTCCTGTCTCATAAACCAAATGATACATCTTAGAAAGCAAGTAAATGTTATTTGCCATCACAATAAAAAAGACAGTTAGAATTCTTACTTTGAAGCATCCAAGACCAATGCATTTAAAATCATGCACTGTTCTCGGAAAAATTTAACCAAGTTCAAAAAATAATCTGCATGAGGGGCGCTGCTGACATATTTATTCACACATTCATCTCCAACTGGAAGCAAGGTAATGTGAAATCAAAAATTTGAAGTGCTACACATTTGCATAATGAACAACAAAAAGAGAAAAAAGTAAGCCTAGATGAGGAAATAGCCACATACCATGATAAACATTGAGTGTCAAAGCACGTACAGCTGTTCGAACCATGCTCTCTTCATGGAAAGCAAATCGTATTGCCTCAACATACAGTGGAAAAGCTACAACTTCATCCTAAACAAACCCAAAAAATAAATAAATAAATAATGACAAAGCAATGTGTGTCACACGTACAGGGAGAAAAGAAGAGGGGAAGCATGGCTTACCTATAGCTAAAAACATAAGGGACACTGTATAAGCATTTCAATTAATTATTTATTTCTTGATGAGGAATATGAAATTGACACTTAATTGCATCTTAGTTACCAAAGCGATACCTATCCACTTGGTGAGGACCCTGTTGGTTCCTCAACTTGTAATTCTAATTTGCCCTAAATATTACACACTTAACCAAATAACATATCTAGCTGACTAAGGAGAGTGTAATTACTTTCATTTGAGAAGTATAATCTATTCTTGGCATGGAAACCAGTGCAACACTAGATCACAGGATGGGGTGTTGTGTGGTTTGACAAGTGAGGCAATGTTCAACGTCATTGTGAAAATGTTGACCACCTGATCCATGAAGTTCAACTCTTCCTTGGAACATTGCTTTTTACGCCCAAAATATTAAAAGTAAAATAATAATAATAATAATAATAATAAAAATATCAGGAAAGCTGAAAATAGCAATGAAAGCAAACAAAAGAACCACTACCACCCTCCAACGTGCAAAAGACAAATAGTTTCCCAAGCAAGTGAAAATATAGCCTCAAAATAGAAGTTCAAAATCTGCAAAAAATTCCAGTTTTTCTCATTTAAAAAAAAAAAAAATCAACTCTATTGAATAATGAGATTACAAACAAACTTGTAATCTCCATTTTGGCAGGGCCAACCACGTGGGCTAGCAAATGCCATGTCCTAGCCTCATGAGGTGACACGTAAGCCAATAATATACTTCCACCTGTCCACACCAACTGGGTTGCACCAACAAGCCTGCAAAGCACATGCAGTGCCCGCTCTCAACACTCCTTGGCCCAGCTAAGGGATCCCCCCTCAAACGGTCTACCAATCAAGCAACCACATGTTCAACTTCCTTGATCGACCTTCAATGATTGCTCAAGAAATCGTCTAGTACCCTGCTCAATGAGCAATTGAGCAACTCCTTGAATCAATCACCACCAAATGATCAAGTAACTTTTTCACTATCCCAATTGCATCCATCGATTGAACGTATTGCCTACAAGTGATCAATTAAGAAGCAAACTCCCATCCAACAATTAATTTTGAACTATGCTGCCAGATTAACTTGGGTCGAGACTAGAGTAGGCCAAGGATCTCAGCTCAAAATCCCTGACTTGTGACCTAGAGGCTATAGTCAATGAATAATCATCGTCACTCAGCCAACCCCATTGAGGTAACGCCACCTCGATCTATCTTAGAGAGAGGGGCTTTAACCCAGACTCGTGATATCTCAAAGAACATGTTATACCCACCTTTATAGTATTAAATATGACCTTCAAGGCTTATCATACACCTACCCTCTATAATCCATGATACATCTCCCACAGTCTGATCATGGGCACAGTATCCTAATTGTGAAACCAAGGAAGATTAATCACATGTCCAGCTGTGAACTGGCCTCCATGATTTGAGCTCCTATAAAAGTGAACTTTCCCTGTGCATGCAAGACAAGACAACTAACGGCTCTCCTTTGGCAAGCGTACAAGACTTCTCCACTGATACAAAATACATTAATGTCTTTTCTAGTAACATGAAAATTACAAAAACAAAATCTCAGCTTAGCGTCATCTAATTATCTAGGAAGATGACTATAAAACTGTACTTGATCTAAAAGTAGTAGAAAAAAGTGACTTGAGTCTTGAATAAATTCAGAAATAATAAGTGGGACTAAAGCTAAACTAAAACCAACTTTATGATCAAAATTGTCACATGAAATACTGATAGGAAAGCTTATTGAAAATAATGATAACAACAAAAACAATCAAGATGACGACGACGGTGATGATGATGATGATGATGATGATGATGATGATGATTACACTGAATATAGTAATAAAACAATAAATAAACTATAGTAAACTTACATTCTGCGTCTTCACAAGCAGAGAAATTGTATTCCTGTTCAACTTTCCACTAATTGCTCTTCGCAAATCACAAAGAACACAACCATGGCCAGCCAACAAAAGAACAGATAACAATTATATAAGAAATATGATTATCACATAAAAGAATGGCAAAATAAACTAAAGAATTTAGTCAACAAGAAAATTAAAGAATACCTTAGCAATAACTAAAGTAGTAACAACATACCTTAAAAAGGATATGTAGTAAGACAATAGCTCTTCATTGCGGAAGTCAAAGGAATAAGTAATAAGGTAGTTAATATGTTCATTACTGAACATATAATCTGCAAAAAAATTCACAAAGAAGAAATAATCAATATTGTTCAAACCTAATGAAGAAAATAAGTTGCTGAGAAAAAATGTTTGTTTTACTGCACAGCTTACAGATAGCATGTTCACTTTTGAGGTTCTGGATCATAATACTTATTGTTTGGAGTAACTGAAGAGACACAGTAACAGTTCTACTAATCTTTAGTATACGTACAAACTCCCCCATGATCTGCTTCTCCATGAAATACCTACCGCAAATCCAGAAATGGCATCAAATGCTAAAAGACACACACATGTCTGTGTATCAAAGAATGTTAAGAACCTAGAAGCTTACTCAAAAAAAGCCGAATCATGCTGGTCTCCATAAGTTAACAACTCTGCAATCGATCTCAGTGCCTCAATGACAAAATCCTTCACAACAAAATAGAGAATGAGAGTACTATATTCACAGTGCAGAAAAAATGGATGTAAAAGCATCTGGCTTAACAAAATGGGGAGGGGGAAAGGAAAGGAAAGGAAAAATAAAATTAAAATTAAAGAAAGATGATATTTACCTTGTTAACTTCATTAACAAGTTGAACCCTCATCAACTGATCAGTTAGATATCTGCATCCAGTAAAACAAAAATTGATCTTACAAATTTGAAGGATCAGAAAATTAAGTACTCATATCCAATGTATCAGATGAATTTCAAGACACCACCAGCCCAGCAGTATCCTGCTGCAATTTTGGCGCAACATCATTGATGCCCAAAGATGCTACCAAGAAAAGAATGTACAATTGCAAATACCTTCAAGATTGAAAGCTATTAATTCAAAATATTTCATATAAGATTACATAAATACAAAACATAATCTGGCCCTAACAGGATCCACTGAACCTGTTAAGGTGGAGCAGTGGATAGAACTGTCGGTTAGAGAAGTTTAAAGGGAAAAGCACAACCATCCTTATGACATACTTAAGATCCTAATAATAATAACAATCAGAACTGTGCTGGAGGTTTTGCTCCAATTTACCACCAGATGACACATTTTGATGAACAAATTTAGTAGAAAGTACAAAGGCGGGAGAAGATGAGAAGGGAAAAAGAAAACAAAAAAGATAGATGAACAGATCAGGTAGTGATTACATAGGAACAGAGTGACTATCAAAAAAGCAGATAAAAGAAGTGAAAGACAGGTAGATAGGGATTAAGTACCCAAAAAGACAAGTTTTATAGGTGATGAGATGCAATATATAGAGCAGAATAATCGGGAAAATAAGACAAATGTTGAAAACCCAATGAGATAGATCATGGGGGTACAAATTAATAGCCGAGAGAGAAGAAGATGTTAAACAGGTTAATCCCCAACCATTTTTTTTTTTTCCTTTCTATACATAAAAAAACGTGTCCACGTGTCCTAATCATGTTTTCAATTTCTTTCTAAAACATGTACAAACATGAAATTCTTGTTTCCTAACTTCTGAAAGTTAGAAATAACACAAAACAAAAGACAAGCAGATATAACCCATATTTCATCTCTAACCCATCAAAATCTCCACATTTCCCAGCTGCTCTTTTGGTCAAATTATTTAAAACATTTGTGAAAATAGTCAACATAACAAAATTCTATCCTGAGTTCTTCAAAAGCTTCAGTTTTAATAGCAAAAGAAAGTTACTGTTAAAAATGTACTGTGATCGACAAAGGGGGCTTAGCTTTTCCAGCAGATTATCACCCTGCCATTTGCTTACCCAATTTTCATATCAAGTTCAGAGATACTCAACTCAACTCAATAAGCCTTTGTACCAACTATTCGGGGTCAGATACAGAATTCGTTTCCTCCATTTGATCCTAATCATAGATATCCCCATTTAAATTAAGATAGTCATGTTCAGTTTAAGATAATTATGTCCTTTCTCATCACCTCAACACAAATTTACCTAACATGATGTCCTTTCTCATCACCTCCATTTGATCCTATTCATAGATATCTCCAATTTTCATAACATTACTCTCTCCTTTCATTTTTTCATGCAATATTCTCTCTCTTTTCTTCCATCTACCATCTCTAACCTCAACTCTCTCCTTTCATCTTTTTGGGCAATATTTTCTCTCTTTTCTTCCATGTTTTACCTCATCCTTTTCCTAAATCTATCTTTGGTATCAGAGCAAAAGATCAGTGTTCTTCAATTTTTCTTCTAATTCAATCATTTTTTTTCAGTTTTTCAATTCTGTAAATGTTTTTAAAAAATAAATAAATAATCTTAAATTTTTTGGGTCATTGCGGGTCATTTTCCCTTATTTTTCTTTGGTTTTCCGCAAAATTGGGTCCATTTTTCAGATCTATCAATCGGGCATTGTGTCAGTTTGAAGCTTGAACCTCTCTCCAGGGGTGCCGACTCAGCCTATAGAAGGATCATCTAATCTTTTTTCTAAGATTTTGATGGATTTTTGACATTTTTTGGCAAAGTGGATGCTCAATTGAAGGTTTTGCAACTTGGAGGATTTATTCTGACCTTAACAGTTTGGCTTTGCGATTTTCTCCTTCAGGTGCTAACTTTCTCATAGTTCCTTTAATACCTTGAGCCTTTGTCAATTCGGTTTGTGAGCATGTGACCCTTTTGTGGTGCTGGTATTGTGCTATTCACCTTTGTATGCATGGCAGAAGAGGGTAAGATTCACATTGGTAGTGAGGAGAAACGGTTAAGTCGTCTTTGGACTCTTGGACATAACTCATCTCTTCAAATTATACATTTGTTAAGTTGGATGGTACTAATTATTTGGTTTGATCATGTTCCTTTAGTTTGGCTATTACTACCTATGCCATGATTGGTAACCTTATTAGCGTTCTTAAGGGTCCAATTAGGGATCGAAATATCTAACACGACAAGACACATTACACGACATGAACTGTACACGAAGTTAGTGGGATAAGGTTGACCATTTTTCAACACAACACAATATAACACAATAAATAAGCGGGTAAGGTTAGTGTTGAACCTACATAACACAAAACTGACTTAGATAACTCATTTAATAAATTAATACTAAATTAGTATGCATTTAAATGTTATTTCTACTAAGGGGTGTGTTAAAGGAATTATGACACGAACTTGAGATGACATGATATGAATATGACCAACACGACATGATTCCCATCCCTCGATCCAATGGGCACTATGTGAGAAATGGCACATGAAGAATGCTCTTGCCATGACGTCATTAATTAATTCTATACAACCCAACATTAGTTGCAATTTTGTGTTAACGAACATTACGCATGGCATTTGGACATTGTATTTGTAAGGGTTGGATTACATTTTGGGTTTGGTTGTAATTTCTAGTATAAGGGTAGTTTAATCCTTATTATTAGGGTTTTGTTCTCTACTTATTTTTGAAAGACAAAATATATATATATTTGGAGGGAGTAGGTTTGGAGATTAGTAAGATGTTTCTCTTTCTCTTGTAACATGGTATTAGTGCCCTTACTGGAGTCCTAGCACTATCACCAACAAGACCGTAGTCATCTCTCCCCCATCACATTTAATTCCTCATCATGACTTGAAGCTTGTGGTCTTTTTCTTCTTCTTCATCGCAACCTCAAGTTGTGGTCTCTTATTCGACGTCAAGCCTGAACCCCAACAGTTAATTCTCTTTGGATCAAATTGGTTCCTTTTTGCAATTGAATTCCTTCTCTCTAATTCACGACTCTTGGTCTCTAGCTCTAGTAGTTGACCAGATCTTTGGTTGATCTCATTTGGTTTGATCCTTCTTGTCCTTGATCATAATTGATTGTTGACTCCTGATGCATGATAATTTTGTACCTCAAGTCTAATTTTGCCAAACAATATAAATTAGAGATGTCCATTCAAAGTGCAAAAATAAAAAATAAAAAAACAAAAAGACAAATCCATTCAGGAGTTTTATGAAACTTATTGGGAGCAGTTAACACTTATGGAACCCTCTAATTTGCAGCAATTGGATAGATAGTTATGCATAGTAGATGGAGAGACAAAGATTGGTACAATTTTTTATGACCCTCTTAGATCAGATTGTGCCCCTCTATGATGTTTTTTTACACAAGTTACATTTGTCCTCCATTGGTGCAAAACACTAACATATTGTTGAGAAGAGTCAACTCAAGGTTGCTCAAATTGGTTCCCCTTCATAAACAGTATTTGCTACTCCTTCTCAATCTTTTCTCCCTCCTACTACTCCTTCGCATCTTGTTCAGGTTAGTCAAGCGCCAAAACCCCATGTTGTTACAAATGAGTGTAATTTTTGCTACCAAAAGCAACATTGCAAGTTTGCATGCCCTGAACTTACAAATCAAAAGGGGCACTCCACTTCTCAGTTTTTCTCTAGATCACCCTTTCAGTCATCCTCTCATCTTCCAACAGCTCTTGCAACACCTACCATTCGCCCATCTTGTGGTGATGTTTTGTATGTAGGTATTCTATTGATCTTCCATCCCTCACCAAGTGCAACATCTAGCATTTCGCTCAGCACAACCGGGATTCCATTCGGAACATTGATCACTCGTTTCCTACTTGATCTTGATATTCATTGCATTTCGGTTGAGCCTGTCACTGCTCAGACTACTTCCTAGAGTAATGCTCATGTTCTAGAGAGTGGTATTCCACTTTCATTCACTCGTCGCCGCCATGTTGATATTGCTCCACTCTAGTTGATGCTCCTCCAGCTATTCTAGACACTGTTGTCCAATACATGCAGCACCTTGAGACTCGATTTGGCACTTCTAATACTTGCTATGATACTCTTTTTGATATTATAGAGGCGGCACCAATCAAATCCATGACTCACAAGGTTGGAATGATTCGCCGCCAAGTGGAGCAAGACTGTTGCATTGAGGCCTCGTTTGGAAACATGATATTGTAGTAACTTTTTAACTTTTTAGCTAAAATATGAAGTTAAAAAAAAATAATATGTTTGGAATGACTTTTTGGTTTTTTACGAAAAGATGTGCAAAAAGTAGAGAAAATGAAATCTTGACTTTTTGGTATAGGTTATAGGCTTTTTGATTTTTTTAGTAACTTTTTTACTTTTAGGCTAAAACAAGCACATGCCAAACGAGGCTTGATTTTGACTCTTAGCTTTAGTCCAAGATCACCTTTTTGCACTCTTAGCTCCTTTAGTATTTTGTGTCAAACAGGGAGAAAGAAAGTTGGTGGTTTGGTTGTTTTGGGATGGTAGTGTTAAGCTTTCAGACCTTGTGCATCACATGCTAATATATGATGTATTGAAAAGCCTTTGTATTAATGAAGCACAGATGTTATGCTTTCATTTTATTGAGTACTTCTATTTATACATATATGCTTGTTACATTTTTGTACTCACTCGATGCATCTCACAAGGAATTGTGCTTGAAATTGTTACAAGATATGCAAGTTATTGGTTGTCATCATTCTAGAGCAAGTATACGTGATGGTTTTGTGTTTGTGGGTAGCATAGGGTGGTCCTTGCAATTCTTGTCTTTGTAAATGCCATAGGAGGACAAAGGTAGTCGGATATAGTATCTTGGCAATTTCTAGGTGATAAATCACGAGGTAATGGTGTGTCGAATGTCTCTTCATGTGTATGTAGTTGATTAGGGTGTTGCCCTCAGCCAGCTCACTTCATCGTTATCAAGCTTCACTCAGTTACCCACTCACTCAAGCATACTCAAGCATATTAGAATGCATTGTAGGTTCATAAATTTGGTTTTTATTTAAAATGAAAGATATTAATTTCATTGGACCGTAAAAAGGTTTTGATAAAATTTATTTTAATAAAAACAAAAGTTTTCTAGAAAAATAAGCATTGCGATTGTTTCCAAGGAAAACCGATCAATCTCTAACGCGAAATGCGGAAATCGATCCCATTGCTACTAACACGAAGGGTGTCAATTTCTGTGCTAAGGCTAAAATTCAGTTTCAAATCCAATAGCCAGCAATCATTAGGTGATCAATCACCAAATTTGGCATTAGCGATGTTTTTGGGTAGCAATTGATCGCTCCTTAGTGGGGATTGATTGCCAACACAAAAATCAGTGTCATCTTTTCCTAAACGGGTTTGGTTACCCTTTTTGGTATATCATGTCTTCTTAATCTTATTGGGAACTTGATTTTTTCCCCCTTTGAAGAGTTTTCCATAAGAGTTTTCCACGTTAATTGATGCGTCGATTCTTTTGATATTCATGCAATATTGTTCATCTATCACAACTTAAATAAAAAAATCTATACAGATAAAATTGTTTTTAATTTTAAGGGAATTTTGACAATTGGTCTATTCACCCCCCCCCCCTCCAGTCACAATACTTTAGGACTCCAATATTTCAATAGTGACGGCGGCCTTCGAGCAATGGTAAGATTACTCCACTTTGACCTGTGTGTCATGGGTTCAAAGCTCATAAATATCCTCTTCGCATGCGGGTACATCTAACCCTCCCCATATCCCGCACTACCGTTTATTTATAGTTATAGTGCAGTGAAGTGATGCAAACTTGTAGATAACAACGAAACAAAAGGCTACTTATGGAGATTTGCCCACGCACAAAGTCGAAACTTTTTGGTCGAAAAACAAGAAACTTAACACAAAAATCTTGTAGTTTTGTGCTTGAAACTAGTATAGCAAAAGTTAAGAAAATCAATCTGTTATAAAGCAGACTTCCAACAAGTCGTCATGGCGAAAGAAATTAAAGGAGGAAAAAAAATCCGGAATCAACAAAAAATAATAATTTTTGAATGAATTGATGATCTGTGCTCTTTTGCATCGCAATATGACCCTAAACCCCCAAAAATTTTCCATCATTCAGTCTAATTCACTGCTAAATATAACCCAAAAGCATCATATCAGTCTAATTTTCCAAGAAAGAGCACTTAAATTGAACCCTAGAAAGGCATGAAATTGAAACAAGAACAAAATAAGCGACGAGTACCTACCTGAGCTCATCCAAAGAGAAACGATCTCTAGATTTCCAGAAGGAAAACCACATGATTGGGATGATCAGAGCTTCTCCGAATTGAAATGCATTCTTATTCACTGACTTCAAATCAAGAATCCATTCTTCTCAACAAGGTATTGATTTATTAAACACAGCCAAAAACTTCTCCACCTTTCGATCGGTGCTTCGAGAACGAATCGCCAATGGCGAACAAGTGTCTCAACCGAAGCTTCAAAATTGAAAGAGAGAGATTTAGGGTTTGATGAGAAGGGTTATGCAAGAGAGAAGACGTCACTGTTAATCTGTATGTATCCGTATGTGCGTACGTGTGTGCGCGCTCGCGTCAAGGGAGGTCTCAGGCGAAGATTGAAGAAATAGAAACATAGATTGGGACTATGTAATAATGAGAATACGACAGAAAGCATAAAGGCTTGATGATGGAGACAGTATAGAGCTGGCAATCCATATTCTATTTCGGATCTCAAACGCTGGCAATCCATATTCTATTTCGGATCTCAAACTTCCAATTCAAATCTAATCGGGTTCAACCGGGTTTTCCTCAACCAAAAAAGGTTCATCGTATAATTGTGTCGTGATTGTTACCTATAACTTTATAAAATTTATAATTAAATTAAATTATTAAAATGATGGTATCAACTTTAATTAAATTAAATATAGTTGGATTTGATTTGAAATTATAATTTACATAATTTATTCATAAAAAATTATATGATTTTTTTTTAAAATAATAATAAGCAAAAACATAATGGGGGTTTGGTAAAGGCTTTTTTTTACTTTTTGAGCTAAAATTCACAAAAAGAATAAAATAGGTTAAAATAGTCAATAAAACAAATGGTTGGTTTGGCATAAACTAAATAATACAAAAAGTCACTATTCTATTTAAGTCACATCATCTTATTTAAATCAAATCACCTCTCTAACACATCACATCAAATCTAATCCAAACCCAATCCATATAAGCCAATAAGTCAAAAAGTGCACTTTTTTAGAATATCCCAAACCAACCCAAAATATTACATCAAACCTATAATCATTTCATTTTTTCTCTCACAAATAGCACATCTAACTACAAAAAAATCTAACTATCTTTTCAAATATAAAAATTTTAACCTATTAAAATAATCAAAAACTAAAATGACCTACTAAAATTGTAACTTTCCAAACACCCACAATATTAAACAAACATTCAACATTAATTTGTTATAATTTTTCAAAATATAAACATGCTCATTTTCAAACCAACTATAACATTTAGCAATAAATATATCATTCAACATTCAGCAAACACAAAACTCTTATCAAACAGACATTCTATCATGGCAACAACAATTACAAAATTAAAATTATACTAAATAATTATAAAATAGCATCATCGTGGCAATAACAATTACAAAATTAAAATTATGCTAAATATAAAATAGCATCAATAAGTTAGATATATGGTTTAAATTATACGGTCGGGTTCGATTTAAATTTAGAACTGTGGACCTAAATCCGAAAATGATCTACTGACACCATTCCCCAATTTTTAAAACCATAATAAAATCACAAATTTTAAAAATAAAACTAAACTAATGGCTGGTTTGGCATCCTAAAAAAATTTTAAAAGACAAAAAAGTTACTAAAAAAGTTAAAAAATTATCACTATTCACAAATTAAAAATATAAAAAAATTATTTTACACAATATTTTAATACAAACCAACCAGTTGACGTAATTGGTACTGGATGGAAGTGCACTTATTAGGTTGTCAAAGGAAAAAAAGAAAATTAGGTATATATATTCATTAAATTGAAGGGTAATGTTGGGCCAATGGGGCCCCATCACGGGTCTCGTTTTGATAATCTGAACCGTTCAATATGTAGAACTCATTGAGTACTATATGCCTATAAAAAATCACATTAATCGGATATTGCTAAATATATGATCAAATCAGTTTTGTATAAAAAAAAGTTTATAATTAACGGTTGACAAAAAAACTAGCACGATCAGACAGCTATCGACATCCGATCACCGTGATTTTTTACAAGCACATATTATTCGACGAGTTCTACACATTAATCGGATATTGCTAAATATATGATCAAATCAGTTTTGTATAAAAAAAAGTTTATAATTAACGGTTGACAAAAAAACTAGCACGATCAGACAGCTATCGACATCCGATCACCGTGATTTTTTACAAGCACATATTATTCGACGAGTTCTACACATTAAATGGTTCCGATTAGCAAAACGGGATCCGTGGTGGGCCCCCAAGAATTCAAGCCGAAAAAGGAGGCAATCATTTCTTATCTCCTAATCCGCCCACTGCTCTGCCAAACTATACGGGCTATATCACTAACTTCTCCTATACACTTATTTATATAATTTTTTAATACACATTTTTTTGAAAGAAAAAAAAGTCAAAAAGTTAACCCAAATATCCATATTTGTTTCTTTAATTTTTTAGTCCAAACAGATAAAAAGTACATTTATTTAGGACACCCCAAACAATCCTAAATCTACCAGATTAGTCTAAACGGATTCAATTTGCGAATTGTTCAATTTCCTTGTTAAGCCCTAATCTTGACGTTGGTATTTGATGCATCCATAAACAAACCTACCAACGGACTGGTAAGCCCAACCCCTAACTATAGGAAAAAATTAGACCCTCAAATATTTACCTATTTTAATCTAAGGTTTAGGTAAGTTTAATTTGGTTTCCTCATAATCTAAATAATTTTATATTATTGCTTAAAATTTTATTTAATCATTAATTTTTTAATTTGATATCTCTACCATGATTTTCATAACAAATATTTATTTGAGAGCTCGGTACATAAATTTAAATTTGGATTTCTTTTACCCAAAAGTCGACACTCTAAATTATTCTTGATATTTTTCTTGTAATGTAGGCCCTCATCATCACTTTGTCAGGGCCCATCTTTCTACTATATTCTTTAGAAATGGACAGCCTAGATCCACCCAACGTGATATTGCCGACTTATATGACGTACTCTGCTAAGATGAGGAGCCCAAGTATACTTAACTCGGCACGCTCCTCATCTTATTTTTTGTATCTATTCGGCAATGATCTTGAGTCCAGTGGGCTTTGGCCTTATCTGGCACATCAAAGATATACCATGTTTGCCATTTTAGGTTTTTTTTATTCAACTCCCACAATTGCCCCCCGAGTATCTGACTATTCTTGAGTTCCGAGTAGTCTAAATGCTCGGCAACTAAAGGGTTGTTTTAGTCAGAATTCTTTGACACTTGAGGCGCCTTGAAATTCAGGTGCGTGATGGACTCGCCATTCCATTGCTGACACATTGGATGGGACACGATGTAGAATGTGTGAAGTTTTCCGCCTCTTCGAAATCTCTATTCATTTCATGCGATTTGAAAATTGTCTTCTTCACCCTTTCACTTCTGGAAAGACTTATTCCTTGCAACTTTTTACCTTCAAGAACTCGTCTGTGATTGCTCTACTCTCTCTATTGTTTGGGAATCTTTCATTTCAACCTGTAAGTCCTGTAAGCTTCACTATTTATTTCATTTTCAAAATTTCTATCTGTTCTTTTACTACTTATCTTTCTCGTGTTCTATTTCAGTCTTCTTATGACTAATCACTTAAAAGCCCTCATCTCTGATAATAGAGTCATTGTCTTTCAAGCAAACATTCAACATTAATTTGTTATAATTTTTCAAAATATAAACATGCTCATTTTCAAACCAACTTAAACAGACATAACATTTAGCAATAAATATATCATTCAACATTCAGCAAACACAAAACTCTTATCAAACAAACATTCTACCGTGGCAACAACAATTACAAAATTAAAATTATGCTAAATAATTATAAAATAGCATCAATAAATGGTTTAAATTACACGGTCGGGTTCGATTTAAATTTAGAACCGTAGACTTAAATCTGAAAATGATCTACTGACACAATTCCCCAATTTTTAAAACCATAATAAAATCACGAATTTTAAAAATAAAACTAAACTAATGGCTGGTTTGGCATCCTAAAAAAAATTTAAAAAGCCAAAAACTTATTAAAAAAGTTAAAAAATTATCACTATTCACAAATTAAAAATATAAAAAATTTATTTTACACAATATTTTAATACAAATCAACCAGTTGACGTGATTGGTACTAGATGGAAGTACCCTTATTAGGCTGTCAAAGGAAAAAAAGAAAATTAGGTATATATATATTCATTAAATTAGAGGATAATGTTGGGCCAGTGGGGGCCATCACGGGTCTCATTTTGATAATCTGAACCGTTCAATATGTAGAAATCGTTGAGTACTATATGCCTGTAAAAAATCACATTAATCGGATATTGTTAACTATATAATCAAATCAGTTTTGTATAAAAAAAATAGATGGTGTTATAGTTAACGGTTGACAAAAAAACTAACACGATCAGATAGCTATCGATATCCGATCACCGTGATTTTTTACAAGCACATATTACTCAACGAGTTCTACACATTAAATGGTTCTGATTAGCAAAATGGGATCTGTGGTGGCCCCCAAGGGTCGAACAATACCGTCCAATTCAAGCCGAAAAAGGAAGCAATCATTTCCTATCTCCTAATCCGCCCACTGCTCTGCCAAACTATACGGGCTACATCACTAACTTCTCTTATACACTTATTTATACAATTTTTTAATATACATTTTTTTGAAAAAAAAAAAAAGTCAAAAAATTAACCCAAATATCCATATTTGTTTCTTCAATTTTTTAGTCCAAACAAATAAAAAGTACATTTATTTAGGACACTCAAAACAATCCTAAATCTACCAGATTAGTCTGAACGGATTCAATTTGCGAATTGTTCAATTTCCTTGTTAAGCCCTAATCTTGACGTTGGTATTTGATGCATCCATAAACAAACCTACCAACGGACTGGTAAGCCCAACCCCTAACTATAGGAAAAAATTAGACCCTCAAATATTTACCTATTTTAATCTAAGGTTTAGGTAAGTTTAATTTGGTTTCCTCATGATCTAAATAATTTTATATTATTTCTTAAAATTTTCCTTAAAATTTTATTTAATCAATAATTTTTTAATTTGATATCTCTACCATGATTTTCATAACAAATATTTATTTGAGAGCTCGGTCCATAAATTTAAATTTGGATTTCTTTTACCCAAAAGTCCACACTCTGAATTATTCTTGATATTTTTCTTGTAATGTAGGCCCTCATCATCACTTTGTCAGGGCCCATCTTTCTACTATATTCTTTAGAAATGGACAGCCTAGATCCACCCAACGTGATATTGCCGACTTATATGACGTACTCTGCTAAGATGAGGAGCCCAAGTATACTTAACTCGGCACGCTCCTCATCTTATTTTTTGTATCTATTCGGCAATGATCTTGAGTCCAGTGGGCTTTGGCCTTATCTGGCAC